TGACTCCACTGAGCTGCCGCAACATGACCTGCCATCATGTCACCATGATCAAGATCTAAGACAAGGTCACCCTTACCTGATCCTGAACTACCAGGATCCTGAATAGCAATGACAGTTCCAACTCCGTCAGTAATAGAAGCTGTTGATGCCAGCTCTCTCTTAGAAATATTGTTTTTGTGGGAAATGTTCGCAATCATGTCAGGCTGCACACTTGAAGAGCAATTAGCAGATGGAAGCACCCGCAATCCCTTGCCATCAAGCAGCTTGGCCTTGAGCGCACCGAGAATCCCTTCTGCTTCAGTTCCCGTCCCGCAAACGTCCTCAAACGAGAAAGGCTCAACTTCTGAAAGACTAGCCCGACCACCAGGCCCAGAATTTGGTGCAAGCTGAGGCAATTCAAAGTTTGTACGAGCGTGAGCACCGCGTAATGCCCGAGCTGCATCATCATATGCCCTTGCAGCATCTTCAGCAGTATCAAAAGTTCCAAGCCAGAGCCGAACCTTTTGCAACGAGTCCTTAATCTCTGCCACCCATCTCCCCGATGGCCTCTGCCTCACACCAACAAACCTGTGGTGTCCCCTAGTTGATGACTTCCTTCTGCCTCTTAAACCACCACTTGGTGCCCCCATATTTTCTTGACCGACTACAAACTTGACCCTCTACTTAATCGAACCTTGCCAGGGTCTAAGGAGCTGGTTTTTATAATGCTAAAACCATGCAGGTACCTGCTGATTCCCATACATGGACAAGTGAGAAAATGATAAGCTCAGCTAGACTGAATATTGCAGGCCATGTTGTTTACATCGAAACAAGAATAACATATACATTACTGAATTCGTTGCTTTTAATAGCTAGAACAATCCGTGCGATGAATCATTATCCACTATGGTCGTATAATGCACAGTTATTAAACTCTGTCTTGCTGGTTAACTCATAAACTGTTTTAAACTGTTTGGAATGTGGTTAAAAAAATTTATTTTTATTGTTAAAAATTTTAAAAAAATTATATTTTATTTTGATATATTGATCTTAAAAATACTTTTTAAAAAATAAAAAAAATAATGCATTTCAATATAAAAAATACTTTAAAAAACAACAATAACTACACTCCCAAATATATTAATAATGTAACAGTTCAGCTTTTCTTTTGCTAATTTTAATATTTTTTGCTTTAATTTTTTTTAATATTTTTTGAATCATTTTAAAGTACTATTTTGAGTGAAAAATAAAAACTCAATTAAATTTATTTTATGTTATTTTTATGAAAATATCAATCTCATCGAGAACAATTGATGTTGATTTTTTTTATTATTATTATTTGAGGGTGGGGGGTTACAATTATTTATATTGATGTTAAGTCAAATTAAGGAATTTTGAAGGAAGAACTTATTATATAATCACTTAAAAAGGGGAAGAAAATCTAAAATTTAGCTATATTCTATGATAAAATAATTATTTTAAAGGATTATTTTATTGTATTTTATTTTGTTGAGGAAAGTTTTAGTTGTAGTTTGTTGATTTATGGTGCAAAAGACCAGTGAGTATTTAAGAGTTTGGTAATAATTATTTTTTAAAGTATTTTTAATTTATAAATATATTAAAATATTTTTTTTAAAAAATTATTTTTAACATTAGTATATCAAAATGTTGTGAAAAAATTAAAAAAAATATTAATTTAAAATCAAAAAATTATTTTAAAAAAATTAAAATACAAAAATAAAAGTTGAGGGATTGGTCAAATAGTAAGTTTAGAAAATTTAAAAAGTTGATAGAATAGAAGTTGAGGGATTGGTTTGTAATTATACTTAAAATAATAAATAAAAAAACAATGGGACCTACAATTATTATTTTTTACTTTTCATTGACAGAGTACCCTGAAATTACGTCACTGTGATTAATCAAGTGAAGGAAATATATACTTTTATCACATAATAATATTTGATTATTTAATACGATAACATTTGAATCATTATAAATAATGATATTTTACAAGAAAAGAAGCGAGAAGTTTAAAAAAAAACTTTTAAAAAAACTTTTAATTAATACTAAATACCCATTAGCCCAAATGATGGCTAATTAAATTTAATTTTTGAATAATGAATTTTAAATTACCCAAATGATGGCTAATTATAATAATACTTTTTATTCAAGGTGTTTGGGATTGAGTTTTAATATATTTGATGTCAAAAATTATATATAAAAAATTCTTTTAGATTATTATTTTTTATATTTTTAAATTGTTTTGAAATATTAATAATAAAAATAAAAAATAATATTTTAATATATTTTTTTAAAAAAAATTAAAAATAAGCAATACACACCTTTAAATATTTTTATAATAATTCCTGATAAGAAAAAAAAAGTGAAGGTGTGAAATATTATTTGTAGGTATGCAATAATGAAACAAGTACAAGTTAAAGTGTATATCTTTTATACAATTCTAAGATAATTAAAGAACTTATAAAATATATTTTTTAAAAAATAAAATTTTTTTGAATCCAAAAAAAAAAGAATAGCCTTATTCCAACATCTATGTGTGGATGTTTATGGAATTCCGTAATTTACCACATAGCTTTAACTTCTTGTAAATTTAAATAAGTGCATAACTACCCACAAGGCCTCAAATAAAATAATTAAAGTTTTATTTATTTATAGGAATTTATAAAATATAATTTTTTAAAAATAATGTTTTTTTAAATCCATTGGAAAAAAACAACGAGTAGCCTTATTCCAACATCTATGTGTGGATGTTTATGTAATTCCGTAGTTTACCACATAGCTTTAACTTGTAAATTTAAATAAGTGAATAACTACCCACAACGCCTCAATTGCTCTTTCATGCTTTGAAATTATAGTTATAAAACCAAGCCTACCTTTTGTTAAGGTGGAGTTTTTCATTAATGAGTTTTGTTTTAAATTGATTTTTTGTTAAAATAATATTATTTTAATTAAAAAATAATTTAATTTCCCTACGGAAAATATATAAGGTTCCAAATCGCTCCCAAATTATTTACTATAAAGTTGAAATTACATTGATTATCATTTGAATAGAAATTTAAGGACAAGAAAATTATTTACCCTGTCATAAATTTCAGCCCGGTCTAAACCACGTTTGTTTCGGGCTCGGTTAAATTGGAATGATATACAAATAAAACATGGGCTCCACCATATTTTTTTTTATTTAAAATGATATTATTTAAAATTATTTTAATTTTTTATTTAAAATATTATCATTTTGAAATGGATTAGCTCCACCAAACCAACGAGCTACGCGAGTTGTAAAACAAGAGCGGTTATTTATCAAAATAATATCTTAAAAATTCCACTTTAAATTGAAATCTTAAGCCTCTTTAAGTGGTATATGAGATAATGATAAAAAAAAATTATTTAAAAATATATTAAATAATTTTTTTTAGTTTTTAAATTTAGTTTTTATTCTAGAATATCAATGATTAAAAAAATTATTTAAAAAAATTTAAAAACTCAAAACTTAATGAAATAGTAGTTATTTTTGACATCAAAATATTAAAATAATTTAAAAAAATCAATTTTTTTAAAAATAAAATTCAACCAAACTCCTAAACACACTCTAAATCATGATTAACTTCCAGTTTACCAGTAAATTTGAAATTGATATCCAACCTATCTTTTATTAAAATTTGAATTTGTTTTTCATCAAATCAATATTATATTAAAAAATTATTATTTTAATATATTTTTAAATAAAAAATATTTTAAAAAAATAATAAAACTACACTTTCAGACCTCAACAGGACTTTAACGCTATTCTCTAACACAATTACAAAAAGGGTCCTGAATTCCTTAGGCATGCAGACTTAGAAACAACGCTACTTTCTTTGTCTCTGCACTCTATCACAACCTCCTTTTTATCCCTCACAATGCTTTGTTTGTTTGCACAAAAATATATTTTTTAAAAGGGAAATTTTATAAAAATAAATTTATAAAAAAATAATTAATTTTTGCATTTAATAATATCAATAAAAAATAAATTAAAAAATATTTTTCAATACTTAATCATATCATAAAAATAATTAACAAAAATAATATAATTTTATAAATTATTTTAAATAAAAAATAATAATGGAAAGAACAATTACCAAACATAACAAATTAAAAAATTAAAAAAATGAAATTGGAAATAAAACTTAATTTAATAAATTATTTAAAATAAAATAAATAAAAATTAAAAAATAGAAAATCAAATGTAATAAATAAGAAATTTCAATTAAAAAATAATAAAATAATAAAAAATAAGGATTAAAACTTATATAAAATAAAAATAAAAATGATTCATCATAAAATATATAGTAATGAAAAAAAATTAAATATGGAGTTTGATATAATTAATAAATAATAATATATTTTTAAAATTTTCATAACAATTCAAATTTTTTTATTAAAAATAAAAAAATTAGAATAAAAATAAAAATTTTATTTTAACTAAAAAATATTTTTCATGAATTAATTTTTTTAACAACAAACAAATTTTTTTTTAAATAACATTGAAAAAACCCCTTTCATTAATGATGCTCAAGCAACTCAGCATAGCCCCTCTCTCTGCAAGATAAGGAAAAAAAAATAAAAAAATAAAAGAAACAGCCAAACACCACTCTATTTTGCACACCCAAACCCTTCCTTTCCCTCCCCTGCCCTCCCCCCCCCCCCCCCCCCTATCTATTTAGCAATTTCTATAGCCATGCTGTCAACGGTTTCGGCCATTTTCCCATCGGTTGAACCGATGGCCAGCAACCCATTTCAGTCGTTCGAGAACGGCTTTACGCCTTGGGACTGTTTCGACCCCTTTCCAAGCTCTCCTCAATCACCAAAGCCTGTTGGTTCGAGTTCCGGTTCGGATAAATCCAACCAGGCAGACCAAAACCCTGACAACTCGAACTCAAACTCTGGCTCCGACGACCCAAACCCTCAAGTTTCAGTCATAGATGAGAGGAAACGCAGGCGGATGGTATCAAACCGGGAGTGATTGGTCAATAAAAGGAAGGATGTTTGGCGCTAGCAATCGTAAGTTATTTTTTATGATTTTAATGATTTTTAATTTTTTTTCTATAATGCTGAATTCGGATTTCTTTTGAGTTAGAGGAAAGAGGCGAAAAATAATGAAAGAAACACGAAATAGATACGGAATGGAAGTGAACGTAATGCTGATCATAATTACAGTGCTGCCATTGCATATTTTTGTGTCGTGAATAGATGGATGGATGATTGTTGATGTGCTATGTTCATAATTTTGGCTCATGTTTTGTTGGGAGTGTAATTTATTTGTCAGTGAGATTCCGTATGGGTAATGTGTGTGCTAAAGAATTGAAATTTGTGTTTTGTAACAGCTTTTGGACAATCATCGAATAGTCCGTTTGGGACAACACAGCCGGCTTTTGGTCAGACCAGTAATGCAAGTAACAATCCTTTTGCGCCGAAGCCATTTGGTAGTCCGACTTCTCCTTTTGGTGCACAAACAGGAAGTTCTATATTTGGGGGCACTTCAACTGGAATGTTTGGCACACCCCAAACTGCTTCATTCTCTGCAACAAATGCTTTTGGTAGCTCAACGCCTGCTTTTGGAGCATCTAGTACCCCTGCTTTTGGAGCGTCTAGTACCCCTGCTTTTGGTGCTTCATCGTCATCAGCATTTGGTGGTAAGTTTTTATTTTTATTTCCTTTTCCACCCGTTATCTATTCTTGGGTTATGATTTTGCCATGTAGAAGTAAGATTGCTGTGCTTGTACAGTAAATGTATATGGATTGTGGACTAACTCGGAGATTTCGTAAACTTTTGTCTTGGAAGTCTTACAGCAGACAAGTTTTCAATTCCTTGGAAAATCAAGTGTTCTAGGAGATGATTTGGTTGCACAGCATGTTGGTTATTTTTCTAAAATCTGAATGCTTCTTGTTGTTTCACCCTAGTTTTTGAGCTCGTTGTTTCATTATTGTTTGTTTTCTTCAATGAAATTGGTAGATGTTGATATTTAATTAATTATGATACAGTATGTTTACTATTTCATTTTTTGCCTGTGCATTTTTTTTTACTACTATCCGGTCTCTGTAGCAGATTTATACTCGCTTGTTTTTCTTCTTAACTTGGTGATTTTCTTGCCTTTGTGTTCTCCCTCATCAACATTTTAATGGCTAACTTCATCTGCCTTCCCTACTAGCATCTGTATATCAAGACAAACAAATTCATGTGCTCAAACACTCATGTGCGCACACACTTTAAGTTTGTGTTGGTATCCTTTATCTGATTGTTTTTTTTTCCCCTGGTTTTACAAATGGACAGCACTTTCTCACTCTTTCTATATATTTATTTGCAGGTTCTTCTGTTTTCGGTCAGAAGCCTTTTGGAGGCTTTGGGTCTACTGCTCAAGCAAGTCCTTTTGGAAGCACAAATCAGCAGTCACAACCAGCTTTTGGGAATAGTTTATTTGGTTCCACACCTTTTGGTGCACCAACTCAGTCTGCATTTGGCGCTACTAGCGCTCCTGCCTTTGGCGCTACAAGTACTCCTGCCTTTGGCGCTACAAGCACACCACCCTTTGGGTCCACAAGCACCGCCCCAGCCTTTGGCTCCACAAGCACTGCCCCAGCCTTTGGCTCCACAAGCTCTGCCCCAGCCTTTGGTGCCCCAAGCTCCACCCCAGCCTTTGGTGCCCCAAGCACTGCCCCAGCCTTTGGCTCAACGTCGACTCCTGGTTTTGGTAGCACAGGAACTACATTTACCAGTTCCCCGTTGTTTGGAACTGGTGGAGCTTTTGGAACTTCCACCACTTCAGGTTTTGGAGCTTCAACTACCACACCTGCCTTTGGGAACTCAACTGTTTCTGCCTTTGGGACACCAACTACTTCTGCTTTTGGGGCTACTTCATCACCATCCTTTACGTTTTCATCCAGTCCAGGTTTTGGCCAATCAGCTTCTGCTTTTGGGAGCAGCCCATTTGGAAGTACTACATCAACTTTTCCAGCCCAGACTTCTCCCTTTGGTAAGCCTTTCTAAGTTTATTGTTTTGCAATTTGCAACAAAACCTGTCTTGATAATGAGTTTTGTTTTTCTAGAGTAAAAGGAACTTGAATGGCTTACATTGTTTGACTTGTATTTTTATAATATGGTATGTAGGAGCCCAGAGTACAACATCACCATTTGGGAACAATGGCTTTGCCCAGTCAGGTTTTGGGGTGCAACGTCCTGGAAGTAGAGCATCACCATATGCAGAAACAGCTGAGGCAGAAGGTGGTGCACAGGCTGGGAAATTATTGTCGATATCAGCCATGACTGCATACAAAGATAAAAGCCATGAGGAGCTAAGGTGGGAGGACTATCAATTGGGAGACAAAGGTAATTTGTTTGTGATTACGTCGGAAAGTTCTGGACATTTTTATTCTCATTGCTAATAACAATGAAAAACACACATCATGCGTATTTTCTCCAACAACTAATGCTGTAATATTGAATTACAGGTGGACCGCTTCCTGCTGGTCAATCTCCTGGCGGGGGCGGATTTAATGTCTCAGCCTCACAGCCAAATCCTTTTGCTCCTCCAACTGGACTTGGTCAAACGTCTGCAAATATATTTTCTTCAACAACTACAAACCTGTTTGCTCCAAAAACTCAAACATCTACACCTTCATTCAACACAACCTCCTTTGGCCCTTCAACATCTTCCAATCTCTTTCAGTCATCAACAACACCTGCATTCTCAGCTGGCTCATCTCCGTCTCTTTTTGGATCAACAAGTACACCTAGTTTTAGTTCAACACCATCCTTGTTTAGTTCTACTGTAGGCCAAGGAACTGTTTCACCATTTGGTTCTAGTATGTTTAATAACACCCAACCATCTCTCTCATTTCCATCAACCACACCTTCACTGGGACAGGCTACTGCATTTTCACAGCCCAGTCCATTTGGACCAAGTACCACTAGTTCATTGTTCAGTAGCCCTTCCACTGGTGGCCTTTTCTCAAGCACCCCGTCTCTGATAACTCCAAATCTGGGGGGGTTTAATCAAATGACAGTAAGTAACAATTAATGTTGTCGAGTACTTTATCATCATATTTAATTCTTCATTTTATGAGCAGAAATGTGGGTATCGAGCATTATCAGTTTTTATACCTCCCAAGCAACTTGAATTCTCAGCTCCATCCCTCATTTATTTCAAGCTCTTTCTGCTTGTGTACATGGGTGGAAGAGAATGAAAAACAAACATTCCAAATCAGAAATCCTTTTTGGCAATTTGTCTAGTTTTTTATGATTTGTATGCAGCGTGTGTATATTTGCAAGTGATTTAAGTTCCAGTGTTGTCACATCTGGTAAACTTATATGACTAACTATAACTTTATCTGCAGCCATCGCAACCAGCACCTTTTCAAATGTCTCAGCCAGCTCAGAATGCAGGTACTTTTGCCTCGAACTTTAGTCAGACACAAGCAGGTATCTTTATTTTTCTTTTTCATCATTTAGTTTTTAAGCATTTAATTTATGGTGCTGACATTAGTTGTGCGCTATTTTTCAGCTGGTATGAGTGGCTTTGCTGGTGTATCAAACAATTTGGGGCAATTGTATGTTTTTGCTTCACTCTCTCTAGTTAGTTGTCTGTATGCATGTGGCAGTTGTATGTCTTTGCTTCACTTTCTATATTTAGCTGCTGTGCATGTTTGTTTGATTTTTCATATCATGTATGCTAAATGTACATGCGTAGGAGATGTGTTCTCCTTCCTGCTCTGCAATGCTTATGTTGTTTTATTAAGACAGGCTTCCTGTCTGTTCTTAACATGTGCACTCAGTGTGAATATTGTTCTGTTACCCCTCTTTATTATGGGTCGTGAAAAGATTCAAGCTACTGGGTAATTAATCAATTTATGGTGCGTATAACAATGTTTTTTGGTTTAACAGGTCTACCCCACAAAGTGCTGTTGCTATACAACCAGTGCCTGTTACAAATCCATTTGGAACACTTCCTGCAATGCCTCAAATGTCTATTGGTCGAGCTGGAACTACACCTTCAGTTCAATATGGGATTTCTTCTATGCCTGTAACTATAACTTGTTCTGAACTGAACTTGTTTACTATAGGGTTACCTTGATTTGACTTTTTTTTTTTTTCGTAATGTAAATCAGCTTTGCCTCATCTTTACTATTATTCTGTGTTATTGGCTTTGATTCTTGTGTCTATAAAATGTAATTGGAGAAATAGCGGTGACTTTTGGCTCTTTTTTTTCTATCAGGTCATTGAGAAACCCTCTCCTGTTAGAGTATCATCCTTATTGACTTCGCGGCACCTGTCACAGAGAAGGATTAGGTTGCCTGCTAGGAAATATTACCCTAAGCATGATGGTCCAAAGGTGATTAGATTTGCAAATTTTTTTCCTTAAAATGGCTATTGATTGCCTTGTCTATAACTGGATTTATGGAGAGGTTGCATATTGACTTGCTTCTTTGCTCACCTATTGCATTCAGGTTCCATTTTTCAGTGATGAAGAAGAAACGCCCAGTACACCAAAGGCAGATGCTCTTTTTATTCCGAGGGAAAACCCAAAAGCTCTGGTGATTCGTCCTATGGACCAGTGGCCTCCAAGGGCAAGTGCAGATAAAGCATCTCCAGTGAATGCATCTGCACCAGTACATGAGAATGGTAAATTCCCAATCTAACAATGCTACCTCAGGTCTGCAATATTTTTGTAGTGTGTTGGCATATTCTGGCTAACTGTGATTGACACATGGAAGGGATGATGCCCCAGTTATTCCAATGCTCCAGGGCTTTACTTTCCTTTCATTCCGTGTCATCATATTATAGCGTCATTGTTGCTGTAATTTTTTTTTAACAGTCCAAATTTAGCTTATTACCTTCTTTTATCCAGGAAAAAATTCAGAATCAGACTTTGCCAATCTCTCAAATGGTTACACTGCTGGTGATAAAAATAGTAAGATATTGTTACATTTGCAATATTCGCGCTTTCTTCATTTGTGCTGAATGATTCCTGAAATTGACATGGCCAAAACTTCTGCTGCTAGTTTATGTTGAAGAGTTTGATCTTGCCTACTTAATAAGATCTTTTGGGAGGTTGCGTGGTATATTCAAACTTCTGACTGAACTTCATATGACAACCGATTTCATGACTTCCATCCGTGAAGTCTACACTTCGAATGTCATTTTCTTCAATAGGCACACTTTTCCATGGAAACACAGCTGTTCTCCATTTTTTGCATGTTTAAACTTACCTTATGACACTTACGTCTTGTGCATTATTTTAACTCTCAAAACCAAATATATTCTGGGGGTTTGTGTAGTTTTTTTGTTTTAATTTCTGTAGCTTATTTCACAAGGATTTTCTTTGGGTATGGCTTCTATTGTCCCTGAATGGATTTTTTTTTTTTTTTTTTGCTTGTGCTCATCACTATTTATTATGCAGAAAATTTGGCTGAAAATGGTGTGATCAAGGAGCAAGCTCCCCATGTCAAAGTCAACCAGAAACCTAACGGAGTCCATGAGGATCATTCAGCTCAGAAAGAGGAGTCCTACATGACACTCAGTGGTCACAGAGCTGGCGAGGCTGCAATTGTGTATGAGCATGGAGCAGATATTGAGGCGCTAATGCCAAAACTGCGACGTTCTGACTATTTTACTGAGCCTCGTATTCAGGAACTGGCAGCCAAGGAGAGGGCTAAACCGGGTTTCTGCCGCCATGTTAAGGATTTTGTGGTTGGAAGGCATGGCTATGGAAGCATCAAGTTCTCTGGTGAAACAGATGTTCGACGGCTTGATCTTGAGTCCCTTGTTCAGTTTAATAACCGGGAGGTTATTGTGTACATGGATGATAGCAAGAAACCACCCGTTGGACAAGGTCTCAACAAGCCCGCTGAGGTAACACTTCTCAACATAAAATGCTTTGACAAAAAGACCGGACGTCAGTTCACAGAAGGACCAAAAATAGAGAAATACAAGGAGATGCTCAAAAGGAAGGCCGAAGACCAAGGCGCCGAATTTGTTTCATATGACCCTGTTAAAGGAGAGTGGAAGTTCAAGGTCAACCATTTCAGCAAGTACATGCTGGAGGAGGAAGAAGAGGATCCGGATGCGCAAGCTACCGTAGATTGTTGACAACTGCAGGCAGTCCCGAGGGAGTGATGCAAGGGTTTTTGTTTGTTTTCGAGGGGGCCTGGACTTGTATAGGATTTTTATCTAAGTTGTGATATATTAGCGCTGAGTAATGTGGTTGTGTATCACTAGCTCTTGCTTCTTCCTTTCCTTGCCCAAGTTCTTACCCTTCATCTTTTCTGCTCATCGGCATGTTGTTCTTTTAGTTTCACTGTTTCTGATCTTTGTAGGGGACAAAATGGAGGGATGGTCGGTTTCCTTTTTCTACTAAAATTGATTCCTTTTATTGTGTTTGAAATTCCTGTTCAAGTTTCTCTTCTTCGTGAAATCTCGTCTTTTGCTTACAGAAATCACAAATCCCACTCGTTGGTGATTTTACTTGTAATATGACAAGGGGTGATGACAGCCATAACCCAATGCATGGATTGCAGGCTGGTTTTCATGGGATTTAAACTTGGATCGCATTTCTTCTTGATTAGACAATACATTAACATAATTTTATAAAACATGGTTAACTCTAGGTTCCTTTTTAGGTTAATTCTTACATGATCATGAAAATAGTAATTAAGTTTCTACTAGTATCTCAATAACGTCAACAAACTTGGAAGATTATAACAGTATCAAAATGGTATCATTATTCAAATTTCTTTTAAGCAAAAAATTACAAATTTAATTATATTATTTTTAATATAAAGCATATACAACATTTCCAAAATATGGCTGTGTTCTTATGATGAAAAAGAATGATATTTTTACAAAAATTTATCTCAATTTGAAAATGATAACAATAAAATCAATAACTAGAATTGATTATAGTATAATGGCAATGGTGACAATGATAACACAACTAATAATAATACATTATTCTTTGATAAAAAAAATCAATTTAACCATCATCATGATTATTTACCATTTACTAAGAAAAAGACATCCCTTATATTATTTCAAAAGCAAGTTTTTAAGATTTGAAGGGATGCAAAAAATAATTAAAATAAACTTGAAAATAAAACAAAGTGAAAATTCTTAAAGATTACAATGGATAATGGAAAGTCTTTGTTCTTACTGGTGCTTAGGGTTTAAAAACACATCTATGTAGTTGAAAATAAACTCATTTGAGCTTTTTTTTTTCATATATCTTCTTTGTTTTTACTATTTACTTAGAATTTTCATCTTTAAAACATGATTAAATTGTTAACTCTTATTATTTTTAGATAATTTTTTTCTCCCAGACTAAAATATAAAGAAATTAAGCTTTTGTATCAAAAATGAAAATACAAAAACTATAAAGACTGTGCAAGAAAAAAAGAAGAATTTTATGTAAATGGATAAAAATCAAGCACCTAAAGTTTTCCAAAAACTAAAACAAAATTCACCAAACAAGGTTTTACATGAATAAAGGAACAAACAAGGGATGGAAATGTGGGTTGGGCTGGGCTTCAGAAAAACCCATCCAGCAATTTCAAACTGGACCAAGAAAAAGGGCCTACATCACCATATCATATTTTAGGGCTTAGGCCCTAAAACACAATAACTTTAGGGCATTTTTTGTAACACTCTACCCTGCTTTACTCTAAGCTGCCGCCCGCTGTTATATAATAATAATAATAAAAATTCTGGTTTTGTGGCCTTGGAGAGAAACTTTAGTTGGAGAGGGCTGCCGTCGACGCCGAGAAATCATGAAGACAATCCTCTCTTCTGAAACTATGGATATCCCAGATGGGGTTAAGATCAAGATCAATGCCAGAATCATCGAAGTCGAAGGCCCAAGAGGGAAGCTTACAAGGAACTTCAAGCACTTGAATCTTGATTTTCAGTTGATCAAAGACGAGGAAGGGAAGAGAAAGCTCAAGATAGATGCCTGGTTTGGGTCAAGAAAGACCAGTGCTGCTATTAGGACAGCCCTTAGCCACGTTGAGAACTTGATCACTGGGGTTACCAAGGGCTACAGATACAAGATGAGGTTTGTGTATGCTCACTTTCCCATCAATGCCTCCATAACTAACAGCAATACTGCCATCGAGATCAGGAACTTCCTTGGCGAGAAGAAGGTAATGATTTCTAACTACTTGCGAGAAACCAATTGTTCTTTAAGGCTGGTGTTAGTGTTTAATACGTTTTTCTTCGAAATTTTTTTAATTTTATTGATTTTAGGTTTAGAAAGTGAAAAAAATAGTATTTTTTTAATAAAATCTTAGTGTTAAACTGTTGATAATTTAGCTGGTAGCTGATGGTTTGTGAGATTATTCTATTGGTTGTTTTTAAATGATGTTACTATTGTATGACAAATACACAAAGATTATTCTATTGTTTGTTTATTGCTGATCTAATGCAATTTTGATCCGAGACATAGTAAATGTATTGAAATATTGTTGTGAGATTAATCTAAAGGAAGAACACTCATTTGGTTCTGGTGTAGTTCTGTGTTGAATTTTTGTCAATGGATATGCATAGGATACGAGTAGTTTTTGTCAGTCAGCAGTGTTATGAGTTTTGACCATGTAAAAAAAAACCTGATGTTTACTTTTTGCGGATGATTTTTATTGGTGGATCAATTTAGAAAGTGAAATATATATATATATATATATATATATATATATTTTATAAAATCTTAGTGTTAAACTGTTGATAATTTAGCTGGTAGCTGATGGTTTGTGAGATTATTCTACTGGTTATTTTTAAATGATTTTGCTATTGTATGACAAATACACAGATTATTCTATTGTTTATTTATTGCTGATCTAATGCAATTTTGATCCGAGACATAGTAAATGTATTGAAATATTGTTGTGAGATTAATCTAAAGGAAGAACACTCATTTGGTTCTGGTGTAGTTCTGTGTTGAATTTTTGTCAATGGATATGCATAGGATACGAGTAGTTTTTGTCAGTCAGCAGTGTTATGAGTTTTGACCATGTAAAAAAAAACCTGATGTTTACTTTTTGCGGATGATTTTTATTGGTGGATCAATTTAGAAAGTGAAATATATATATATATATATATATATATATATTTTATAAAATCTTAGTGTTAAACTGTTGATAATTTAGCTGGTAGCTGATGGTTTGTGAGATTATTCTATTGGTTATTTTTAAATGATTTTGCTATTGTATGACAAATACACAGATTATTCTATTGTTTATTTATTGCTGATCTAATGCAATTTTGATCCGAGACATAGTAAATGTATTGAAATATTGTTGTGAGATTAATCTAAAGGAAGAAAACTCATTTGGTTTTGGTGTAGTTCTGTGTTGAATTTTTCTCAATGGATATGGATATGATACAAGTGGTTGTTGCCAGTCAGCAGTGTTTTGAGTTTTATTGGTGGATCAATTTAGAAAGTGAAAAAATAGTATTTTTATTTATAAAATCTTAGTGTTCAACTGTTGATAATTTAGCTGGTAGCTGATGGTTTGTGAGATTATTCTATTGGTTATTTTTAAATGATGTTGCTATTGTATGACAGATACACAGATTATTCTATTGTTTCTTTATTGCTGATCTAATGCAGTTTTGATCCGAGACATAGTAAATGTTTCTTTATTGAAATATTGTTGTGAGATTAATCTAAAGGAAGAACATTCATTTGGTTTTGGTGTAGTTCTGTGTTGAATTTTTGTCAATGGGCATGGATATGATACGAGTGGTTGTTGCCAGTCAGCAGTGTTTTGAGTTTTGACCATGTTAAAAAAACCTGATGTTTACTTTTTGCGGATGTTTTTTGTTGGTGGATCAATTTGGTAATGCTGTTTGTGTCTGGTTTCTTAAGGTGAGAAAGGTTGACATGCTGGAAGGTGTGTCTATTGTTCGGTCTGAAAAGGTCAAGGATGAACTTGTCCTAGATGGCAACGACATTGAACTTGTCTCCCGGTCTGCTGCTTTGATTAATCAGGTTTGTGTGTGCGATGATGCTTGTGTACCTGAATGTGCACTTCTGTATCTGAATTTATTCTTTTGTTCAAAAAACTTTGGTGCACCTTATTTTATAGATGAATCATGCATGCCCAGCAACTTCCATTTTTCTTCATTTGCTGAAAAAGTTTTTTCTTTGAACAGAAATGTCACGTGAAGAACAAGGATATCCGCAAATTTCTTGATGGGATCTATGTGAGTGAGAAGGGAACTGTTTTTGAGGAAGAGTGAGTCAAGGAGTTTTAGTTTTGTTCATATGGTAGTTCTCTTCGTGCTCTATTAATGCCCTGGATGCTTAAGATGTTTCACCGATTTTGTCTGGAGTTTTCATTTTATAAAATTTTGATTGTTCTGCCTATGTTTTCAATATTTTGTGTGCCATGGGATTGCTCTCTTCTCTTTTTTGCTACAAGCACCGATGCCATTGTTACCAAATCTTGAACATTGCTGAATAGTTTGGAGTCATAAACCATGGAACGGAGTCCAAAACTATTTACAGGATAGGAAGTGCAAAATGGAAGAAATTTCTGAAATTAAAAAGTTGACCTAGGAGGTTGAAATTGAAAAATAAAAACCGAGAGCCAAAAAAAAGAGGCAAGTGAGAAAATAATAAAAATGTCACATGAAAGCAGCTAAAGAAATTGAAAATTTTTACTGACACGCCACTTCTACTAATGAAGACACCAAACTAGAAGACGAAGTCACCAAGTAGCACTGGTTTTCTTGCTGTGCTCTTGAAATAAGGGGGGAGTAGGTTTGTACATCATTGACAATGATTTATCACTGTGCTGCATGAGAGTGGATGCTTTAGATTTATGAAATTATTCATGTGAAGAATCTACGTAGAGGATCATTGCTCTCTATTCTTTCTCATAATTATTTGGTACAAACACCAAACTAGAAGATGAAGTCACCAAGCAACATTGGTTTTCTTGCTGTGCTCTTGAAATGAGAGGGGAGTAGATTTGTACATCATTGACAGTGATTTATTGTTGTGCTGCATGAGAGTGGATGCTTTAGATGTATGAAATTATTCATGTTAAGAATCTACGTGGAGGATCATTGCTTTCTTTTTCTCCTCATAATTGTTCATGCAAAGGACCTGATTCGAATAAAAGCTACGCCTCAACCCTAAAGATAAAATATAACATTTTCATGAGGACAGTGGTGGTCACGTATGCTTTTCGAAACAGCGAGCATTCACGGAGAGATTACCATCCAAAGAGGGTCAAATACAGAGGTTAAAGTCGAAGAGAGCCAAAGCAGCTTTGTAGCATTCAGAGAGATTACCATCCAAAGAGGGTCAAATACAGGGGTTCACGTCGAAGAGAGCCAAAGCAGCTTTCTCAAAAAGAGACATTACCATCGAAAGAGGCTCAAATTGAGAGGTTATTATCCAAAGAGAGCCAAAGCAGCTTTCTCAAATAGAGACATTACCATCGTCAAAAAAGCAATCTCAAATGCTTTTCAAAAACAGAGAGCACCCGTAGAGAGACATTACCGTCCAAGAGAGCCAAAGAAGCAGATCTCAAATGCTTTCCAAAACTTTGAGCAGAGACATTGACATCCAAAGAGGGTCAAAGAAGGAATCTCAACTGCATAGTAGTAATGGCCCTGCTATCCAAATCAAACAATTCCAGAGCACGCACTTGTTTACCAGTGTAATTATTAATTTATTAAAAGAAGAAACATAAAGGAGCTAAAATAGAAATATAAAATATTCCAATTCAACCACCATATCTCCTGGATAAGAAGTAGGAAACAACATCTTTATGGGAGACGGTGCAACTTTAAAACACAAAAAAAAAAACCTAAACCAAATGGAAAGTGATCGGACGAATAGCAAAAAGAAGGTGAACGTCACCAATTTTCAAGAACACCATCCTCGAAAAGGAACACATGTTATAAATAGATTACTATACATTTTCTCCAGCTGCACAATGTGTGAAATCTTGGAAGAAAAAAAACAGAACAAAGGATAAAAGTCAAATTTGGAGGTGGTTCGAACAGTTCGCTGGATATCTTTGATGTTCCTCTCAAGGAGAACACAGTGGAGTTTCTTTGGCACGATCCCTCTATATCTAGTGGAACCTATAGTGGTGCCTTTTACTATAACAACTAACCTTAATCCATTTTATAGCGTTTTTCTCTATTGCTGTCATTTCATTTATTCCAGTCTTGAATAATAATGTAAAGTAATATCAACTTGTAAGGGACTTGTATTTATAATATTGGCTCATCCAGTCATGTCGTCGATTTTTGACTAACATGGAATTAAGAAAGTAAGAGGAGATGATTCTGTATGCTTGTCCAGTCATTTCTAATGATCTTGAAGAGGGGGACACTTTCCACCCGCGAATAAATTATGTATCTGGTGTCTTTGAAAATGACAGGGATGCGATTCTCCGCTGACACTTCCCACAACGATGTTGTAGGTCTACTTCATTGCTAGTAGTTTTCACTTCCTTTATATGTTGCCATTCGAGCGCTCTTCTTTATCCATCATGGCCTGCATAATGAAGCTTTACAAAGCTTTGAAGGATGCGGCAATTAGCCATCAAGTCCTGTTGGCAATGATTTTCATACAGTTTGGTTTTGCAGGGATGACCTTAATATCAAAGGCAGCGCTAAATGCTGGGATGAACCCTTTAGTGTTCAATGCCTATCGGCAAATGATTGCCACACTTGTGTTGGCGCTCCTTGTTCTCTTGATGGAGAGGTTGGTGCTGTTATTCTCATTTCTATCTTGATCATTTCACGTTGTTTTGCTTTCATGTTTGGCTTGACTTCAAGTAAAATGATTCCTACATGTTTTTCTTTCACTGGCAAGCGGTAAAACGGGGTGGATGAACTAACACTCTCTATCACTTTATCCCTGTAGGAAGAAGAGCGGATCGCTGTCATTCAGCCTCTTCTGCAAGATTTTTGTAGCTGCTTTATTAGGGTTAGTTGATGTATCGACAGCTTTTTCAATATAGAACTGTTTAATTACACTTTTAACTTTTGTTTGACAGGGTTAAACTACTTTCAAATTCCTAACTAAATGGTGTCTTTTGTTAATAAAACAATTTGGAATCATCTTCATGAGTGAAACTAGATTAATTTTTATGTGTCTGGCTGATGAAAACGTAGGCCAACATTGAGCTTGGATCTATACTACGTGGCGCTCCATTTAACCTCAGCAACATTTGCAGCTGCTATTCTCAATTCCATTCCAGTTATCACATTTTTCTTAGCTATCATTATGGGGTAAGATGGATGATTTTTCTCTTGCTGAAGAAAAAAAAAGGAGCCAAAGATAGTTTGCAAAATTATCTGAAAATTTGAAATGGTAGGTTGGAGGCTGTAGGTTGGAGATCATTCTATGGTGGACTCAAGATCCTTGGAATAGTCATAACTGTTGGAGGAGCCATGCTGCTTAGCTTCTACCGAAGACCTACGACGAGACATCCTAACTCGTCAAGTTCTGGCAGCAACGATGGAACATTCTTTGTTAATAAATTGGAGGGTAGAACGAGATCGATCTTAGGACCTGTTCTAATGTTCCTTTCTGCCATAGCTTGGTCAACATGGCTTGTCGTTCAATCAAAATTGCTAGAGCTTTATCCAGCCAGGTTACGCCTCTCCACTCTACAGTGTCTCATCAGTTCTGTGCAATCTAGTATTATAGCTGCAGCCTTGGAGCGAGAACGTAACTCATATAAGATAAGATGGGATATTCAACTTGCTTCCCTTGCATATTGTGTAAGCCTCAGCTTTCCACACACTACTTATTGTCATTACCATCTCAACATCATTAATATTTATATCCTCCTTTTGCAGTTCATATTCAATTTATAACTTGCTTGAACGAATTGCAGGGTGTATTCGTAACTGGGGCTGCATATGGACTCCAAATTTGGTGTATAGAGAAGAAAGGGCCGTTTTACGTTTCCGTGTTTTCTCCACTTGCATTGGTTTTAACTGCCATCTTCTCAGCAATTTTTTGGGCTGAACGATTGAACTGGCAAAGGTTTGTTGCTTTCAAGTGAAAGACACAAATAGTAATAATAACCACAATTAAAGTTTTTCTTATTGTGCAGCCTTCTTAGTTTGTATCTTATGTTTTTGGTGTTCTTTCCGCAGTATATTGGGAGCTATTCTGATTGTTGGAGGTCTTTATGGTGTCCTGTGGGGAAGAAGCAAGGCTGAGAAACAAGAAATACATAATGGTGAATCTCCAGCAGAGCAATCTCCAGATATTGAAAAAAACTGACTGTTTTCTGTGCTTGTGTGTTTCTCTCATATATAAATTAGTGTAGCAAGTTATATCTAGTAAATTCCTACTCAGACTGACAATAAATTTCCTTTTCTTAACCTCGAATGTCCTCCTTTTCCTTTCTCCGTTCTGTCTGATAAAAATATTCAGCAGAATGACATTAATTATTCTATCGCAAAGATGGAAAGGAATTGGATGCTCTCAACTCAATTCTTTATTAACCAACCTTTTGTTCCTCCAAAGGAATCACTATCGTTTATGAATGTTGTTTTCCAGGTTGCCAAGAGTGATATTAACCACTGTAGAAATGCAGAGTTAAGAGCATCCAGTTCTAGCAAACATACACAATTTAGACCACATACATAAAAATTCCCCTGGTATTTTTTTACATGGACAAACTAACAACGGGCTGATGAAGAGCCTTACAAAATATTTTGTGAATTTCATGTCAACTAACCATAACCAATCGACAAGGAGCCAACTGGGTACTTGAAGAATAAAGACATAAAGTTGCTCCATGTAGACATTAGAATTGAAGAATAAACAAGTTGAACTATTAATCTTGAACAGAACATGTTCGTGTCACAAAATAGTCTTAATATATATTTTTCAGATAGTGGCCATAGAATTCAGAGAATTCTATTAATCGGCAGAAAATGTGGATATGGAAAAGGCAAAAGCATCTTCAGAGATAGCTGGCTACTGGTTCTTTAAGCATGCTCTATCAGTAATAGTGGGGCATCCTTCTTATCTAGCATGTTGCTACACTGATTGTGAATTCCACTAACTAAAGAAAGAGGTGTCATTCTTCCACGGAAAACAGAGAATTTATTATAGAAGAAGTGGCTGAGATACCTTTGTTACTATTTAAAGGGAAAAATGATGAACTGTTTTCTCTTCCATTGCAGTGGAAGCAATTCATAACCATGCAAGCCTGTGCTCCATATGCAGCGATGTTACTAGTTCAATTCGCTTATGGAGGATCTAATATCCTCATGAAAATTGCTCTTGAGAAGGGACTCAATCAAATAGTATTTGTGGTTTACCGTCATGTCATTGCAGTGATTTTGTTGGGCCCTTTTGCTTACGTAATTGAAAGGTAAACAAATAACATTGTCGATGCATGTATTTGTGGGAAATTAAGTTTTTTGATGCCTAGATGTACTTTAAAGCATATAACATAAGTACTAACAGAAAGGCTTAAGACATCATGGATTCCTAAGGAGAATATGAGAAAAATTGTAATTTTTGGAATGTATTTGCAAAGCAGGAAGCAGCGCCCTTTGCTTTCATTGTCAGTGATCATAAAGATTTTTCTGCTTTCATCACTAGGAACTACCATCCATCTTAATGTTTACTATGCTGGTTTAGCATACACTTCTCCGACAGTTGCAAGCGCGTTGAGTAATGTTATCCCGAGTTTGACATTCATCATGGCAGTTTTACTCGGGTATGTATGTGCTCAACTGACCTTATAATGATTCAATTTAAGTTCACCAGATCAAATTTATTGATCTGCTTCCATCTTTCTCAGGATGGAGAAAGTGAAGACTGAAAGCCCTAGAGGATGGGCTAAAATGTTGGGCACGGCTATTTGCATAAGTGGCTCACTGGTTTTTACCTTCTGGAAAGGAGGATATCTGTTTAAAAGTTTTGAGAACAGAGCATTGATAAACATCTATAGCACCAAAGGTTCTGCTGGTGAGTACAGGCATGCTAAAGAAAACTGGATTAAAGGTTCTGCACTTATTCTTACCAGTCATTTTGCGTGGAGTGCATGGCTAGTCCTCCAGGTAGTCATTCGTCTGTTTTATTTGAAGTAGATATGTTCATTAAGGTCTTGCTGATAATTCTCACCTGCTCTCTCAGGCTGTAGTTCACAAAGTCTATCCAGCTCGTTTATCGCTGAACACTTTGATTTGCTTCTTCGCATCAATCCAATCTTCTTTTCTTGCGCTGTTTTTTGCAAGAACTCCTGCAATATGGAAGCTGGACTGGAATGTGCAGCTCCTGACCATTATATACAGTGTGAGGTTTCTGAAATAACTATCTAACTTTGAGACTGCTAAATTGCTTGTTACTTACGTATATTATGTTTATAGGGAGCTGTGATCTCAGCGTTAGGCTACTACCTGCAAACCTGGTGTATTAGTCACAAGGGGCCAGTTTTTGTAGCTATGTTTAGTCCACTACTAGTTGTCATTGTTGGACTATTCTCAGCATTTGCATTTGCAGAGAGACTTCATTTGGGCAGGTGAGCTATTCAATTCTAAAGTTTCTCCACTCTTCTCGTTCATCAGTTAGTTACAGGTTGCCATTTCAAAACAATTCAAGCTGTCCATTGTTATTTATCAGTACCATTATTTGGCATTTCCCAGCTTGATAGGAACAGGTATCATTGTAGTGGGTCTCTACTGTGTACTGTGGGGTAAAAGGCAAGACAATAGCGCTGCTCAGAAGCCTGATGAAGGAAGAGGAGGCTTGGCTGACGGTAAATCATTGGAAATTTCCATAAATGACTACCCATTGACAAATCCTGACCCAAGCGGAAGGAAGTGAAGTTTCAGACTTACCTAGACTAATTCAAATGCAAGACCATCATCAATTATCAAAGTGGCTTTTGAAGTCTCAGTGGTGTATTGTATTTGAATAAACTTAACCAAGCACACTTCTTTTCTACTCATCAATAAACAATGATAAATGGGATGTCTTGGTAATTGCTGACAAAGGATCCACCAAATACAATTACTAGTTAGTGGGAGTTAATGCCGAGGCATCGTCCGTTTGCCTAGTAATAGTAATGTTGTGAGGAATGGACTATTTCGTTTCTCTGTACTGGGTGGTATTCTTATTGATGGAGGTCTTTATGGTATCCTGCGGGGAAGAAGCAAGGCTGAGAAACAAGAAATACATAGTAGTTGATCTCCAGCAGAGAAATCTTCCGATATCGAAAAAGACTCTGTTTTCTCTGCTTGTGTTTCTCTGATATATAAAGTGGTGTGGCAAGTTATATCAAGTAAACTGCTTCTCTGACTGACAATGATTTTCTTTTTCTGTTCCTCTGCTGTCAAATTCTCTCTTAACCTCTAATATCAATTTTCCCCCCTTTTCCTTTCTATCTGAAAAAAATATTCTGCAGCATGACATTGATCGGTCCATTGCAAAGATGGAAAGGAATTGGATGCTCTAAACTCATGTCTTTATTAACCAACCTTTTGTTCCCACAAACGAATCATCATAGTTCACGAGTTTTGTTTTCCTAACAAGAATTGCAACAACACATGATTTGTTTTTCAGATATCACCGTAGAATTTATAGTAAAGAGCATCCAATTCTAGCAAACACACAATTTAGACCACATACATCAGAATTCCCCTTCTATTTTCTCACACAGACAAACTAACATTAATAGGCTGATGAAGAACCTCACAAAATATTTTGTGAATTTCATGTCAAGTAACCATAACAAATCGACGAGGAGCTAGTTGGATACGTTGAAGAATAAAGACATAAAGTTGCTCCATGTAGACATCAGAGTTGAAGAATGAACAAGTTGAACTATTATTCCCAGAAAATGATCAGGTTTAATTTTGAACAGAACATGTTCGTGTCACAAAGTACTCTAATATATATATTTTCAGTTTGTGGCCATAGATTTCGGAAGAAATTGTGGATTTGGAAAAGGAAAGGCATTTCAGAGATAGCTGGCTTCTGGTTCGTAAAGCATGCTCTTTCAGTAATAGTGGGGCATCCTTCTTATGTAGCATGTTGCTACACTGATTGTGAATTCCACTAAATTAAGAAAGAGGTGTCATTCTTCCACACGAGACACAGAATTTATTATAGAAGAAGTTGCTGAGATTGATCCTTCGTTACTATTTAAAGGGGAAAATGAAGAACCGTTCTCTCTTCTATTGCAGTGGAAGCAATTCATAACCATGCAAGCCAGTGCTCCATATGCAGCGATGTTACTAGTTCAATTAGCTTATGGAGGATCTAATATCCTCATGGAAATTGCTTTGAGAAGGGACTCTATCAACTAGTATTTGTGGTTCACCGTCATCTCATTGCGATGATTTTTGTGGGCCCTTTTGCTTATATAATTGAAAGGTAAAGAAATATAATTGTGAATTCATGCATTTGTGGAAAATAATTTTTTTTGATGCCTTGTGTGCTTTTAAGCATATAACATAAGTAAATTTCTCTCACAGTTGCAGAGTAATGTTATCTCGAGTTTGACATTCATAATGGCAGTTTTACTCTGGTGTGTATGTGCTCAAGTGACCTCATAATGTATCAATTTTGTGTCCACCAGATCAAACTTTATTAATTTGCTGCCATCCCATTCAGGATGGAGAAAGTGAAGACTGGCACTGATAAACATCTATAGCACCAAAGGTTCTGCTGGTGGGTACAGGCATGCTAAAGAAAACTGGATTAAAGGTTCTGCACTTATTCTTAACAGTCATGTTGCGTGGATTGCATGGCTGATTCTCCAGGTAGTCATTCATCTGTTTTATTGGAAGTAGATATTTTCATTAAGATTTTGCTGATAATTCTGACCTTCTCACTCAGGCTGTAGTTTACGAAGTATATCCAGCCAGTTTATCACTAAACAGTTTGATTTGCCATCAATCCAATCTTCTTTTCTTGCGCTGTTTTTGCAAGAAATCCTGCAATATGGAAGTTGGATTGGAATGTGCAGCTCCTGACCACTATATACTATGTAAGAGTTTCTGCAATAGCTATCTAACTTTGACACTGGTCAATTGCTTTTTACTGATGTATTCTGTTACAGGGAGTTGTGAACTCAGCATTAGTCTTCTACCCGCAAACCTGGTGTCTTAGTCACAAGGGGCCAGTTTTTGCAGCTAATGTTTGGTTCACTGCAAGTTGTCATTGCTGTACTATTCTCAGCAATTGCTTTTGCGGAAGCCTGATGAGGGAAAAGGCTTAGCTGATGGTAAAGCATCGGAAACTTCCATAAATGACTACCCAATGACGAATCCCGACACAAGCGAAGGGAAGTGAGGATTCAGACTTACCTGGACCAATTCAAATGCAAGACTGTCAGCAATTATCAAAGTGGCTTTTGAAGTCCCAGTGGTGTCTTGTATTTGAATAAAGTTCACCAAACACACTTTTTTCCTACCCACAGGAAAATAAAGTTTAAATGGAACGTCTTGCTAACTGCTCAAAAAGGACCAGCCAAAAACAATGACTAGTTAGTGGGAGTCAATGTCATCAACGCGCCATCCATTTACCTAGTAATAGTAAGGTTGTGATGAAAGGACTATCTAGTTTCAGTTTTCTACTGTATGACTTGGATTTTTTTCTTTTCTTTTCTTTTCTGAATTGTCAGTTCAGTTTAAAGTAACATCGCATTGCGTTGGTCATATCAGAAAATCCATGCTATCACTTCTAGGTGTCCTCAATATCAATCACAAACAGGTACTTCAAGTCATTATTTACATACTGAATTGGAATCACTTCAATCTTGGGGTAAGTTTTGCCACAGTAAGTTACCAATATTAAGGTTTGCAGGGCTGAATCTGACTTGACTTGGGAACACAACACGAACAAAAACACCAGCAGTCTTCAATTAAGACAGACATGTATGGATCAAAACGGTGATTCCCCGATACTGTGTTGATCATAAAGTACAGTAATATGGATGAGACCTGCATAAAAGATATTAGACATCAAAGCAAAAAAAAAAAAAAAAGGAAAGAAAGAAAGAAAGAAAGAGAAAGGAATATACTGTGTTGAATAGTGGGGCATCCTTTTAATTATTAAGAATGTTGCTGGAGAGATCGTGTCTTCCACTACCAAAAGAAAGAAATGTCATCCTCCCAATTAACTGCTGAAGTGGTGGCACCAAAGCGAGAGATTATATATATATATATTCTGATTTTTAGGTTTAAGTTTAGCCAGATGTTTGTTTCACTTAGAATAAGTCTACGTAGTTCTGTAATCCCATAGATAAATGAGATTATGGATGTTATGATTCCTTTTCTTTATGATAAAGATCTTGTGATATTGGATTTTGCCTATAAATAAAATTTGAGGGTTGGCAATAACCTCCATGTTCTTGTTCTTGTTCCGCTCCTGGTTCTTTGCTCTTTGATTAAGCTAAGTTCTTGAAATACAATTTAATAACATTTGGTAACTTCCATGTTCTTGTTTTACTCCTGGTTCTTTGTTCCTTGATTAAGCTAAGTTCTCTTAATACCATTTAACAACATTTAATATCAGAGCCCACCTTTTATCTTTGAAAGGTTGTGAATGAAATAGGAGGGATTAGTAAGGTTTGAAAATGGAAGCTTTAAGCTTTCCACCAAAAACACCAGTTTTCACAATGCAAGATTATGGTGTATGGGTTGTTAAAATGGAGGCTCATCTTATGATCTCTGATTTGTAGGAGAAAGTGATAAGCAACCAACTTCATTAAAAAACAATCCGATAATTGTATAGATAAAGTTCTTTAATAAAGAAAAGAAAAAACTATACAAAGCTCTTACTTGTTTTTATGATAATCTGAGTGAAGAAATCTTCACAATTACAGCTCGTTAAACTGCAAAATAAGCATGAGATGGGTTAAAAGTTAAATTTCATGGTGAGGAGAAGTCCAAAAAAATATAAATCTTGAATCTTAGAAGACAATTTGAAAGTATGAAGATAAAGGAAATCAAGACTTTTCAAATCAAATTTTTAAGATTGTGAATCAAGTGAGGCTATTAAAAAAGATTTTTCTGATTCCAAGATATGAGAGAAGGTTCTAGTAAGTTTATTAGAAAAATTTAATCATAAAATTAGCTCCATAGAAAACTAAAAAATATTTATCAGAAATAAATCTAAATGCATTATAAATAGTGGAGCAAAAACAAGTCTATCAACAAGAAGGTAAAAGTATAAGAACCCTTGTTGTAATTTTAAAAGAAAAGAGTTAAGATAATAACTGTAATACCCCATATATATATATATATATATATATATATATAATTTGGTACTTGAAAATACGGTTGAATTTTATTTTTTTTACAATTCTCATATAAAAGTCTACTAAAATTTTCATCAAAATTTTAGCGGAGTTTTTCCTATACCAGGAGGTCCCAAATTATTAATATATACCCTGTTTAACTTTTAATATCTTACATCTCATAACTTAATCATAACCCAATTGTCATGGGTCTCAATCCTATAAACATCATCATCATCACAACCATAATATTTATAATATACTTTGAAATAACAAATATCATTATAGAGGAATAAATGAGATAAACACGCATACATGAAACATGATTATATGAATTTAAGAGTTAAGTTCATTTATTCAAGTTTAAACATCAATTATATAAATTAAGTTATATAAATATTTTAATATTTTAAAATACAAAGATATACTTGCTAGAACTACATAACAAAAAAGTGAACAAAAACTAGGATTTACTCTTATCGTGCACGCGATGGTCCTGAAACAAAATACATATTATTAAACATGAACATCACAAAAAATATAGTAACATAAATATCCAACAATTTAAAAAAGACAAACATGTATTTATATTCTATTCACTTCTCTATTTTTTTTATTGGAACTCTTTCTTATTCAATAACTAAAACTGTTTCATCTTCCATTTTCAACTTTTATTTAAAATTCTATAAGATTAACCATAACTATTTCTGCCTAACTCATTGTTAATACCAATTTCACTGGTATCATCATCACCTCATAGGCATCGATGCTTAGCGGTCCCTTTACCCGAAATCCTAATATACATTAAATGGATGCTAGTCGATACATGTTAATCCTCTTACCTATAATCCTAACATACACTAAATGTGTGCTAGTTCATACCCCAGAGGCATCGATGCATGATGATTCCTTTACCAAGGATCCTAACATTTACTAAATATATGCTAGTTCATGCATGGTGATCCCCTTACTCGGAATCCTAACATACACTAAATGTATGTTAGTCCATGTCATATAGGCATTGATGCATGGTGATCCCCTTATATAAGAGCCTAACATATACTAAATGTATGATAATCCATGCATGGCGATCCCCTTACCCAAGATCCTAACATACACTTACTATATACTAGTCTATGCCAATTTCATCAATCAATATTGTCATTCTTTGTCCAACCATAGTTCTATATACTAGTTTATGCCAATTTCATCAATTAATATTGTCATTCTTTGTCCAACCATAGTTATCATCATAAATTTTCATGTCAAATACAGCTCGTTTCGTTTCGAAGCTAGGATATGATATCACATGTTCCTCGAAGGAAAAGGACCCAAATTTTCACCCTTTAACACGTTTAAATAGTTGCTTTAATTATTTTTTGAATTTGCTAGCAGAGGTTGTATTCCAACCTCTCCTCAGATTATTGACTATATCTGAAGTTTTAGAACTCTGTTTCAAGCAAGGTTGGTCTTCTCAAAAAATTAAGACACACGGCTACAAGTCTCATGAAGGGAGGAGAATCCAATTCTACCCCTAAGACACTTGAAATTATTCATCAACAAATTAGACCTATTGTCCTATAGGGTCTGTCATGACCTGGTCTCGGTTAGTGACTCATAATTGGAGTTTTATATCTCCAAATTAAGTAAGACCACTTGTTTTAGATAGTTAACATCCAAAATTACAATTATTATAAGGAATGTAATCCTAATTTCTTCATCCTCTTACTCAAATTCTCTCCACAAGTCAGGAGATGAATCTGTTAAGATTCATCAACCTTTCCATTTACACACAACATCCATAATTCAACATTTTCTCTTTATCTCAACCCCTAATCATATCACATACCGTATAAGAGTGTCGAAAATATTTTTTTAAGAGCCAATTTATCCTAACTAATTGATCTATATCGTTGTACGTGAGGTACTCTTATTCATTCCAATAATATCATCACAAGTTTGATACAAATCAATATACCTAAAACACTCATATCCATTCCAGTTATATCATAACTAATACACATCAATGTATTCATGGTATTCATATTCATTCTAATATTTATCAAATTAATAAAATAATAAATTCTTAAATTTATCAACGAGTTTACACAAATTAAAAACACAAGGTGTAATGCACCTACCTGTTTCCCCTATCAATTAAGTCCCTTCAACTCCTGACGACCCTACTCCAAGCATCTCTTCTATTTAAAAATCAAGAGATACAATTAGTACCCTCTTCTAATTTTCTCATACTATTACAATCTCATTCACATGAATTCATCACCATGTTTTAATTTCATTTTTTGATTATTTTCTTCAACTATCTTATTACACTTTCCGAATCAAATTTCACTCGAGAACACTATTTACCATCTAATTCGTAAGTAAAGTAATAAAATTCGGTTTTAAGTGTCGTTTGGCTCCTTGAAAAGGTAAGACACGATTTTA